CTTAAGAACACTGTGCATAAACAAATGCTTGCAAACCTCGATGAATCAAAGCAATGTTGTAAAGAAGAGTGGGCCAGAATTCTTGTATGAATATGTGACAGACTGATAAAGCCATACAGTATAGAAAACAATTACTTCAAGTTATTGCTGCTAAAGGTGGTTCTACAAGTTATTGAATCATGAGGTGCACTTAGTTTTTCACACGTAGCTTTTCCATTTTGGCTTTATATTTTTAAAAGTATGTGGGATGTTTGTGTATGTACAGGCAACATACTGTAGGAAGAAACTGTATTTGTATGATAATTGAACTTGCTTTATGCATTAGTTTTTAAAATGTACAGTGGTGCCCTGCTGGACGATTACCCCACTTGATGATGAATCCGCTTAACGTTGAAGTTTTTGCAATCGCTTTTGCGATCACAAAACAATGTTTAGATGGGGGAATTTCACTTAACGTTGATCAGTTCCCTGCTTCGGGAACCGATTTTTTGCTTTACAACAATCAGCAAACAGCTGATTGTCGGGTTTCAAAATGGCCACCAGCTGTAGAAAATGGCTCCCTGCTATGTTAGGGACAGATTCCTCGCATTACAGGCACCAGAAAATGGCCGCCATATGGAGGATCTTTGCTGGATGAGCAGGTATTTCACCCATTGGAACGCACTGAACAGTTTTCAATGCATTTCAATGTTTTTTTTATTTCGCTTGATGACAATTTCACTCTACAGCGATTTCGCTAAAACGAATTAATGTTGTGAAGCGAGGCACCACTGTATTAGAAAGATATATTTTTCAAAAGTATAAATGATTATGATAGGACAGGTGATAAAGGAAACAATCAATGCTATATAGCAGATTTTTTTTTGTATAGCAAACTGTATGGACTAATGCAGTGATTCTCAAACTTTTTAACTCACAGCTCCCCTTAACTTACTAGCCATTGGCCACAGCTCCCCAATAAATAATAATAATAATAATAATAATAATAATAATAATAATAATAATAATAATAATAATAATAATAATAATAATAATAATAATAATAATAATAATAATAATAATAATAATAATAATAATAATAATAATAATAATAATAATAATAATAATAATAATAATAATAATAATAATAATAATAATAATAATAATAATAATAATAATAATAATAATAATAATAATAATAATAATAATAATAATAATAATAATAATAATAATAATAATAATAATAATAATAATAATAATAATAATAATAATAATAATAATAATAATAATAATAATAATAATAGCTTTTTCTGGATTTTTAAAAATTATTTTCAGTCCATAGATATATGAATCAGTGAATACTGATCCTATGGATAAGGGTGTTCTACTCTACTACCTTTTAGTCCCCACCCAAATGAAAGCATTGTTTTTTAAAGTTGTCTAGCCATTATACATGTATACAGAGAATTTATTTATTTATTTATTTTCATTTTATGCTGCCTTTCTCCCAGTTAGGGGACTCAAGGTGGCTCACAACTTATTTAAAAAACCAACTGACACAACCCCAATAGATTATTACAATTATACAACCAGTTATATTTATAATATCTAAAAATTAGCTAGAGACTTTGTCTGCAAAGTACAACGCAAATTCATCGCAGCAGGCTGTCAAGTGGAGATGGGGACAAACCAGAGTTTGGCTCAGCACCAACAAAGGTATTCCATGGGACCTGCATGCTTCCTTTCCCCATCTCCTGGCAATCACCCACTCAAAGGTAGCAGCATGCATTCCTCCTTTGTCTCCTCTGGCATCCTCTCACTCAGATGACAAGGTGGGGCAAGAAAGCCAGCAGCACGGCCTCTGAGTGAGCAGTCAGCTAAGGAGGCAGGAGAGGGAAGCACACAACACATGCTGAACACTTATCCAGGCACCACACCAGAACAGTCTGAACCATAGTTTATGCCCATTTCTACTGGCAAGTACTTAGTGTCATGGTTGTGGATATTAAGGTTAAAACTTGACTTCAAGATGGGTTATGTAGTTGTGGAGAATTATAAAATGAATCCATATTGGTTCTGTTTTTTGAATGATTTTGTATGATGGGATTGTTTTCTCCAAGAGGCGATGGGAAAGTTCCATGTAAACTGCCATGTTATGAGACGATAAGGAGTAAAGACACAACATGGTTGTCTGGATCTAGACCCGAGACGAGGAGTTGGAAAAGAACACCTGGACTTCTCATGGGAAAAGGAGGCGTGATGTGAATGGACTGTCCTTAATGACAATTGGTCAACACCTCAATGGACGAAGGAGAAGGGTGGTGCCAAGGAGACAGAAAATGGAGGATGGTGCCACATGGACAGAGCTTACAGATTTCAGATACCTGATTCCAGTTTCCAGATTCTAGGGAGCCATTTTGTATTCTTTATGCTAAGATGTAGGATAGAGAGAGAGATAGAGGGGGGCTAACCCTTGCCTATCCTTAAAGAAGCTTTTTAATTTTTTAGTATATTTTTGCTAGTTGAATTTTATTTGATTTTAACTGCAATATCTTTTGGAAATGTAACTTATGGTTTGCTTATGCAAAAAACTGAATATATTTAAAGACTTTATTTTTCAATAAAAAATATTCTTAAAATCCTTAAGAATGGTCTTTTGAACAGCAAGTCTGCTGAGCCTGCTTCCAGAATAGTTGTTAGGCCACAGAATGCTACAGAGTCCTTTTCTGCCTGAGCTTTGTTCGTTCTTGCAGATTCCTAAGCTCATGTGTTTTTTCTTGCTTAATTTAATTAAGTACAAGCAAGTGTCTTTTTAGAACGCACTTGTGATAAGGGGTTTGCGTTACGTCCTGGCTGAGTCACCCGGACTCTGCTCAGCTGTTTTGGAGTACACAGACACCCGCTCTCTGCTCACAAGTCGAGCAGTCCTTAATTGGATGCTGGGTTCTGACACTTAGCATCTTGTTCCTCTGGTTAAGCAAGTAAGGGGCCTTTGACCAGTCAAAGCAGTTATGTTGGGTGGCTCTATGTAGATGCAATGGGAGTAGAGAAGAACTTCACTGCAGTAACTGCCATACATGAGCTTGTTATCATAGAGAACATGAAGTCTTAAGCTGCTCCAGAAAAAGTGGTCTTGGCATAGATGTTGAAGTCCCCCAGCACAAAAAGCCAAGGGGACTTCAGGATCACTCCTAAGACCAGCTCAGGCAACTCAGGAAGGGAGACTATTGAGCCGCAACGTGGGCAATACACCAACAGAATCTTTGTCCTGTTCCAGGCACCCACTTTCAGCTACAAGGGGGTGCTGATAAGTATTGAGCCTTTCCCAGAAAAAAATTGAGCTAGGAAACTGTAACTGCCACAATATTCTACATATTCCACCAGGAAGTCAATACATTTGTGACATCTGTCCTGCAACTTCTTAAGTCCCTGCAAATAAAATTCTTCCGACTGCTGATGTAACCACTCGTTTGCAGTATTAGTAGCCTCCAGAACACTCCCAAATCGTTGTCCCTTTAGGTGTTTTTTGAGTTTGGGGAACAGATAATAGTCAGAAGGAGCCAGGTCGGGAGAATAGGGTGGATGGGGCATCACTTGAAAGCCTAAGGATGTCAGTTTTGCCACTGTTTCATCTGCAGTGTGTGACGAGGTGTTGTCATGCAACAGGATGACACCTTTGGAGAGATTTCCTCAACGTTTTCCCATGATGTTTTGCCTCAACTTCATCAATAAAGCACAGTACAGTATTATTTTGCATTGACGGCTGAACCCTGTTGGAAGTAGTCCACCAGCAGAACTCCCTTCTTATCCCAAAAAAATGTTGCCATTTGCTTCTGCACCAACCTTTGCACTCGGAACTTCTTTGGCCTGGGGGAACCACTGTGCCTCCATTCCTTAGACAGTTCCTTTATCTCAGGATCATAACAGTAGATCCATGTCTCATCACCAGTTGCCAGTTTGCCCAGGAAATCTGACTCATTTCTTGCAAAATGTTCCAGAACAGCCACCAATGACTCCACACGTTTCCTCTTTTGTTTGGTTGTCAAAAGTTTGAGGATCCACTTTGCTGCCAGCTTTCTCATTTCCAAGATGTTATGAATAATGGCACCAAATCTCTCACATGTTATTCTCAGATATATAGCAATACTTTTGGCTGATATTCAGTGGTCCTCCATGGCAATGTCATGGATGGCTTTCACATTTGCAGGCACAGAGACAGAAACAGGACTTCCACTGGGTTTCTCACTTTCAACACCAAAATGGCCAGTTTTGAAATTGACAACCCAACATTTAACTGTTGCATATGAAAGGCCACTGTCACCCATAGTTTGTGACATTTCATCATGGATCTGCTTTGCACCTTTCCCTTGGAAATAGGAACTTGATTATGGTCCTGTGCTCTTCCACATCGAACTTTTCTGGAGGTGCCGCCATGTTCACTTTGGACCGGAAAATGAAAGATAAGTTTAAATCATAGATAGTTGATTTTTGCACCATTGAATACAGACAAATTGGCCAATATACCCTGCAATTTATAGCTTCCTAGTTCAATTTTTTTTTCGGGGGAGGCTCAATACTTATCAGCTGAGAAGACTGTGGGAGAGGTTATCTGCTGAGGAGAATGGAATCATGGTAGATCATTGCAATTCCATCTCCCTGCCCTTCAAGCCTAGCATCCAGGTGGGAAGACAGGAATAGAGGTTAAGGCCCTCAGCCTTATTCAGCCACCTTATCATGGCACTGACTGTCTCTCTGCAGAAGGAAATGTGGGAGGATTCGCTCCATGTGTACAAGAAGGGATCTATTCCTGTGGGTTTCTGTATTAGACTCCTTAAAAGCCACTCAAGGCTCATGACTGTATGGAATGATACAAAGATGACTGGAAATTCAAAGAATAAATGTTGATCATAACTGCTATTCCTACAAAAGCAGCACACAAATTCCAAAGGAATAAATAAAAATGAATGAGATATACAATAGGAAACACAGTACATGATGTGGCTTTATATACATTTTCTCACCGGCATTCAATGAACCACTGGCGTATCTGATCCTGGAGACTCTCTTTGATGTCAGGGCCTTCAATTTCTCTCACTTGCTCTTTTATGGTTACAAGGGCTTTCTGGAAATCTGACTCATGTTTTTCTTGGATTTCACACCTTAAACTATCTATCTTCTGGGCACGCAGCAATGAAGCACTAGGTCTTTGGAAGTGAAGAGGTGGACTCTGTAAAAAGAAGAAGGATCACATTTAATTAACATTTCCAGAGGAAAAGCAATGTTAGTCTGCTGCAGCAAAACCAATGGTATTCTGGTGGCACCAACAAGTTTTACACTGCATAAGATTTTATGGGCTTTGCTCCATTTCTGCGTGGAATAGTGTCTTACTAAACAGAGCTAGACTACTGCACAGACTTGTGTTGAGATTTTGATCTCAAAATGTATTAAATATAAAGTTAAATGGCTGATTCTACCTGAGTCGTGTAGTGAGTGTATTCTTCAGGCGTGGGTACTAAGGTTGAAGACTTGATGTTGTACAGCTGTTGTAAATGATGTAACCTTATGTAAGTAGAAAATGAAGTAATGTATTTTCTGATTGGTCCCAAGAATGTATAAAAGTCATGTGTAAAGGGGACATTTTATCTGCTGTAAGTCAGATCACTTTTTTCTATGCTATATATTATACCATGTCATGTTATATTATGCTGCCAGATGAATGTCTATTCTCTCTCTATATATGTTAATAGGCTAAGTTGATATATTACTCTCTCAGTGTTATAGTGTTTTTGCAACCTGATATATCGTAACTCTGCTTATGTCCATATTTAACCAAAATTCTCAACAACTTGCTCAAACAGTCTGCCTACGAAGGGCATGTTCCATGCATCTGAAGAAACAGCTTATAGACCACAAAAGCTTGTGCTTTATTGACAATATTGTTCCAATACTGTATTAATTTTAGAGGGAATTATGTCAACATTGCTTGAATGGACACTCAGTTTGAAGGCATCTTTCAAACTGCAATTAAGACGGTCCCTTTGCTGATTTACTCTTCAGATCCTTCTATCATTCACCATACCCATTTACACTCATGCTACATAACAGCTCTTTCTGTATCTTCCACTTCAAATTGTTTAGTCTTCAATGTAGATGAGTTCATACGCTACATTAGTCATTCATATGGCAATCAAAGCTATGACTTTAAAAATAAGTATGAACCATAGTGGTAAGTGAACTCTTAGCTCATTGACCGAAGACAGGCAGGAGAAAGCTAAGATTCCACAACTGACATTTCTAGTTCAAGGTCAGAAAGATACACACACACACACACACACACACACACACACACACACACCTACTACTACCAGCCAGGCAACACTGAGCTAGATGGACAATGACTGACTCAGTATAAAGTACCTTCACATGTGGAGATAGAGAATTGAATGAAGTAGAACACAGCCCCTCCTTGCACAATACTGTTGCATGTTGGATAACAGCTTCTTGGTAACTTAAGCAAGTATTGGAAGTTCCGTGAATGCTTTTGCATGCATGTAAATATCCAATGGCATTTTGGCTTGTATGATGTATAGTAGTAAAAAAAGGGGGGTGTATGTAGTGCTAAGCCACGTCAGCAGAAGTATAACATCCAAATCAAAGGAGACAACAGCAGTGCTCCAATCTGCTTTGACCAAATATTATGGCAAATCTGCTGGTGATGTGAACAACTGAAGCCACTTGAATGAATTTAGAGTGACATGGAATATTTTCTTATTAGTGTACAGATTAGGTTCCTTTCTTCTATGAACTGAAAAATGCCAACTTGATTAGGCACCTTTGACCAAATGGCAAATCTGCTGGTGATGTGAACAACTGAAGCCACTTGAATGAATTTAGAGCGACATGGAATATTTTCTTATTAGTGTACAGATTAGGTTCCTTTCTTCTATGAACTGAACTGTGCCAACTTGATTAGGCACCCTTCAGTCTCGAGAGACTATGGTAACGTGCTCTGTATGGAGGACGTGGAACAGCATCTAGTGTGGCTGAGAAGGCCAATTCAAGAGTGACAATCCCTTCCACACTGGACAAATACAATCTGTACCCCGTCCAGCTCCCTGATTTTCCTACTTTCGTGACTGCCTCTTTGCCTCGGCCTGCTGGACAAGGGTCTCTTCAAATTGGGAGAGGCCATGATGCACCGCCTGCCTCCAGGCTGAACACTCAGATGTCAGGGTTTCCCATCTGTTGAGGTCCATTCCTAAGGCCTTCAGATCCCGCTTGCAGATATCCTTGTATCGCAGCTGTGGTCTCCCTCTGGGGCGATTTCCCCGCACTAATTCTCCATACAGGAGATCTTTTGAAATCCAACCATCAGCCATTCTCACAACATGCCCAAGGCAACGTAGACGTCGCTGTTTCAGTAATGTATCTATGCTAAAAATTCCAGCTCGTTCTAGGACTACTCTATTTGGAACTTTGTCCTGCCAGGTGATACCAAAAATATGTTGGAGACAACGCATATGGAACGTGTTCAGCTTCCTCTCCTGCCATGTACAAATGGCCCAGGACTCACTGTAGTACAGGAGTGTGCTCAGGACACAGGCTCTATAGACCTGGATCTTGGTGTATGTCACCAGCTTCTTATTTAGCCATACTCTCTTTGTGAGTCTAGAGAACATGGTAGCTGCTTTGCCAATGCGTTTATCCAGCTCGACATCTAGGGACAGAGTGCCAGAGATCGTTGAGCCAAGGTACAAAAATGCATTTCAGTTGGACTTTGGTCTTTGCTCTCAATCTAGAGAGATTAAAGAGGGAGAATACTGTGTCAGTGGTGGATCGATTAGCTCGAAATCCACACTGTGATTCTGGGTAGACTCTGTCTGCAAGCACCTGGAGTCTCTTCAGTACAACATGGGCAAGCAGCTTCCCTAAAACACTGCGAAGAGAGATGCCACAGTAGTTATTGCAGTCGCCCCTATCTCCTTTGTGACAATGTTTGCATCCTTCATGTCCTGTGGTACTCCACCTCCCCTCCAGCAGATACGAAAGACTTTATACAGTTTGGTGGTGATGATATCTTTACAGCACCTCAGCAGGGATCTTATCCTTTCCAGGTGCCTTGCCGGAAGCGAGGGAATCCAAGCCTCTTTTATTTCTGCTGAAGTTGGTTCGCTGTCCAGCTCTTCCAAGACAGACAGGCACTCAATGTTATTTAATGCTTCTTCTGTTACTACATTCTCTCTGCAATATAGCTCAGAGTAGTGCTGCACCCAGCGTTCCATCTGCTGTGCTCGGTCCTGGATGATCATGCCTGTAGCAGACTTCAAGGGAACAGATTTCCTCTGTATTGGACCTAAAGCCTGCTTGATACCATCATACATTCCTTTGATGTTACCTGTGTCCGCTGCTATCTGTATCTGAGAGCAGAGCTGAAGCCA